GATGTATGTCTTGAAGGGCTGTGGGGCGCGACAGACTGTCCGCAAGTTACCTTGGCAGGTTAAATGGCCCGTTTGCGGTCAACCGGTTTGGTTTAATGAGGTTTAAGGTCGTGTGTTGAGCGCTCCTTCTGCGGAATCCCAGCAAAATCTCAGCTCACGCAATCACGGCCCGTACAAGTCTTTCTTGTATTAGAATCTTTGGGAAGTCATGAGAAGTTTAGGTGCGATAATTAAGATCGATTTGTATGCTTTTGTGAGCATGATCAAGTATTCACCCCCCTTTTTCTGCTCTTTGAGACTGTTTGTTGACTTGGTATTCACATTCTTTGTTTCATTTGGGGATGAAGTTACAAGACTCGAGAAGTTAAGTGTAATGTGGTGTAGCCACAGTATTTAGGGTCCAGGCTACTTGCTGCGGCCGCCCCAGAACTCCCGGCTCAAATGCCAAAGACATTTCTTTTGCAAAGCCTTATATATATATATACATCGCCGTTTGGGAATTGAGCCAGAACCCTTGAGGGGGCTATACTGATTGCAAACAGGGGAAGCTCACGAAATCCGTTGAATGTGGGGGTGGGCCATTCAATGATTCTGCCCCCAAGAAAGACAGCAGGGTTTTGGGTCACAACTGAACTGTTATAGGTAAAACTCCACCAGATTTTATCCACTTCGCACAAGACAAGGTGAAGTGATGTTTGAAAGAACGTCTTCCATTGACTTCTCATTCTCATGTCACCTCATCTCTCTTTCTAGCCTTGTGTGTTGTTTTCAACCAAGGCTGGTGAGCAAAGAGGAGATGAAGAGCTGGGATGGCATCTCGGATTTGGGCGAGCATAATGGTTCGTTCTTGAAGCGGACACCCCGCCCAAAATGTGAAGAATTCCGATCCCAGAGGGTCCCATTCTGTTTTGGTTCACCTACACCATGAACCTGGGTAGTGCTGGGACATGAACCACTCAGCTGACAAAACCCAAACCGCTCAGAAAGCTGCCGACAAAACCCCTGCCGTCGACCTCCAACTACCTGCAGACACCGTTTTGACCTGCGGCGGCCAAGAACAGACAGGTGAAGAGTTCCCCTGTGAAGAGTTGGGTCCCTGTGAGGTAGTTCGGGATCCAGTCGTACCGAACCTCAGGTACAGTGATGTGTTCGACACTGTCATGTAGGTCCAGTCGTACCGAACGTAAGAAGGCCCAGCTTCAAACTCAAGCCACCAGTGTCGATGGACCTTGTGAACCCCGAACCCCCTGCCGGACGGGTTTTTGCTTCAGCCGGTGGATTTACAGCTAGTTGTGTAAGGTTGTGTAATTCAAGAAGCTCTCCTTGAACTGGCTTTTGATGATCTTGAAAAACGCACCAGATGGGTCTGACACGCCAGCTTTTGGTCCGGCGGAGCAAGGAAAGAGCAAATCAATACAGCCCACAGAGAAATAGAAGCATTGCCTGTCATTGCCTATTGCCCATAGTGTTGCATCAAGAGTGAATCACCCTGGAAGAAGAATGTAAACACTAACCATGGCACTATGGGAACACACCGTGTAGGTGACGTTGGGTGAACGGAATTTGTCTCATTTGGGGTCTTTGTACATGCTGCCCACTCCTCCTGAGGCATTTTGGATCATCGCTTTCAGGACAACTTCCGTGTGAGGCGAGTCCCGTGCCAGGTCACGGCCAGCTCGCATCCATTCCAAGCTGACTAGGTCAGTATTCTTAGGGTACTTCACAAAATAGATTGGTCGCGAACAGAGGTCTCACAACCAACACCTTTTGGGGGGGTACCAACCTAAATACATGGTTTCCAGGGGAACCAAATATGTCCAAGTCCAACATCAATGTCGCAGGACCTTGGAATCATTGGAATCCCGGATTCCCAAGGACGGCATGACCCTGGAATCTGCTTGACACCAACCCAACCCCCTGGGATGTAGCGATCCCCAGTCGTTTCACTATGAAGATACATCTTTTGGGGACGATAATTTGTTCGTAGCTTTTGATCAGCAAATTACTTAGAGCCCCTGTTGAGTGGGGAATGACACACTTGTCGTAATCGAAGACCTTCCTGACATTGACAATAGGTCATGTCAAACCACCCGAAGTACTTTTTGTTCAGAAGGAATCTACCGGGTTCGTATAAAACCATGTTTCAACCGGGTTGAAGCATGATTTTATACGCGTGGTACATTTTGGCGCAACAATCATGCACTAGTACTTGTACCATGCAGTTGTGGTGGTTGGATAGACTGGACACCCTTCAAGCCTATTTTGGTATTTCAGCCTTCTTCTTGTGTCCCTTCACAAAAAAGCCGCCATCGCTGCAACTTGCAAAAGAACATTGAGACAACACAACACAGAACCCAACCAATTTGGTCAGGAGTTGTCCTGGACACTTGGTCGGACACTCTTTAGCTTGACGCCCCACCCAACTCCACACTGGGCGGTCCAACAGCATAAAACACCCGTGACTCGCACTCCTGGCGCCGGGGCCATGGCCTCACACCACCCACCACCCATCAGGTGTCGGTCGGCGACGATCATCAACACCTTTACCTTCTACGCGATGAAGGGTTCTCTGGGCGTTGTTGAGGGACCGGAAGGGACAGTTTGGGACAGGCGAAGATCTTACCCAGAAGGTAGGTGCGTTTGGCGTGTGTGTTGGAATAGGGGTCTCCGCAACTCCCAACCAGTGAGGTTTAGTTGAGTCTTCCTTCCTATTCCCAGGGGTTGAATTGGCACATCTCCCTTCTCTTCAATCATTGCACACACCTTAGGCTTGAGGTGCAGCTCTTGGGAATCAATACAAACCACGCCACAAGCAGTGATTTGGTTTTCATTAGTTATTTAGGATGACCTACACATACTTGGATGAGTTTAGTCTGGACGATGTATTTTCTGTCTCGCCGGAGAACGCCAAGCAAAAAGTTGCAGAAAGTTCGCGACAAACATCATGACTCATGTCACCAAAGTGACGCAGAAGTGACAAACAAATAACCAGTGCAGAAGCTACACCAATCAACAGCACAATTATTTGTTGTGTTGTTTGTTTTTTTAATTGTTGCTTGAACATACATCCACTAGGTATATGAATAGATTGTATAAGATTAAATATATCATATCAATATATCACCAAAGAGTTGTAGTACTATCACACACTTGGCGGATGAAGGAACCTAGTCAAGCTGTTTGAATTTGCGTCGCCTTTTTGTTCAACCTTCAGGTGACTACTTCAAGAACCTCTTCCAGGACTGGTGTTTTGGGCCATTCTGTGCCCCATGCATGTGGAAAACATCCAGACATATATGCAGACAACTGCGGATTCCCATGACACCATTGGTTGTCAGGAAATCCATGTAGAAGCAATTGGCCACAACAACCCGGAGTGGTGATACTCTCACATCCTATTTGGCCAAAGCAATGGTATGGCTTTCATGACCCTGCACTAGGATTGACTAAGTAAACTCTGAACCTAAGAGGATTATTTTTTCTTTCTGCCCATTGCTGGAATATACACTTGCTGAAATAATCATGGAAGTGGGAGCTACCTGTTTGTAGAGGAGAATGTTCATCCAAGGGGCCCTAATCCACTGCGAATGTTCTTTGAGCTTTGGTTTCGGCTCCTCTTGAAACTCCAAGCATATGGTTTTGATTCATAGTTTTGTGAGGCTTTGTGTTTGCACAAGGCTTGGCAAGATTATTTTTTGTTCACGACGGTTCCAGCAGGCCGATTCCTTTCTCGCAAGGCCGATTCCTTCCCAGCAAACTCAGAAAATGCTTTGCTTTGATGGACAGAGGCTAATCTCAGATTTCTTTGTTAGCTTTCCTGAAATCCACAGCTTCGCTTCGAAACCATCTCAGACTACCTTCGGCCAAGAGTCTGGGCGCACCTACTGGACTCGCGCACCTACTGGGCGCCGCTGCCGCGAGCGGCGCGCAGCGTTTTCGGCGGCGCAGGACTGGTCCAAAGGACGTGGCCAGGCCTACTTAACTCAGGTCATTTGACGGCGCCGACTTCTGGCTTCGACTCGGAGAAAGCGCCGGAGAAGTGGCGATCGTGAAAAGGACGTGAAAAGCGGCACGCGAGGGGCTGGGTGAGTTCAAAGGTTATCCCAGTGGAGACATGAAGAGATATATTATCATACCCAAGTGGAGTTGTTGAGCATACCCGGATCTCAGATACGAAAAACATCAGCCATGAGGGGGGGATCTTCAACTCGTTGGAACTTCGCTGGTGGCGATCTTCGCGGGTATGACCCCGGAATAACTCTCTTTGACCCTCAAGTACCTTTGAACATGGGATAGCATGGGTACTGTACAAGTTGGTACCTGTTCTTCGGGTCATGTCCCATTTAGGTTTGTACCCTCATCGGTCTGTTTTTTTGGCGGGGGGCAGGCAGAAACCCACTTGCAGCTAGTGTGCTGTCCTGCTGCAGATGGAAACTTCATGAAGTGTTCGAGGATGTATCGACTGAAAGTGTGCAAGAGCCGTTGGTTCCTATTTTAATCTTACTAGGTTGAAGGTTGGAGGCCATCGCCAATAGGTCCTCAGATTGTCTGTAAAACAGCAGCGAGTCACTAGAGAAAAGGGAGTTCCGGATCCATCTGCTTTCGGCGCAGTAGAACTTGTCCATCAACCCTGAAGCGTTGTTTTCCACCTGATATTCTCAAAATGGCATGTTGGAAGACTGCCCCCCTATCTGGAGGGGGAGTCCACTTGCATGTCAGAGAGATGATATATGGTTGTTGCATTCTATCGCTGAGCAGAATGAACCCCTGTCCCTGTCAATCCTTCTGGTTGGTTTCCAGACCATCATCTTTGAGGGGGTCAATTTTGGGTTCGACCACTCTTCGAGCATCGTTTGGACCTTCATGAAGTCAGTAGCTGCACTGTCTTGACCTTCATGGACAGTATGCATATGTATGAACCATATGAATCTAGTGCAATCAACCTGTATTTCTGGAAGGTGGGATGAACCCTCCAAGCTGCAGAGCTTGTCCAGCGCCAGGTGCAGCGTTGCCTGGAGGAGATGTTTCACAGGCGAGTCTTTTATTATATTTGGGAGATCAGGAGTGGCCTGGTCCCGTCGGATTGGCAATTGGTTTTAGTTGAGACCTCCAACCCTGGGGGGTGTTGGGGCCCATCGTTATGAAGCAGGTACGAAGGTTGGGCCCATCGTTATGGAGGCTGCAAGGTTGTACCATGACATCGATCCAGGTCATCCTGATCTGGAGCATCCTGAGGTGGTGCAGAGTCTTCCCGAGGCGATGTACCGTTGCGCTGCTCTTTTTGTGGGATGGAAGGGCTGGAAGATCCTTGTGGATCGAAACAGGTTTGGAAGAGGAGAGGCTTCAACTTGGACACTGCAAAAAAACAAGACTCTGCAATCTTCATCTCTGAAGATCTCTGAAGGTGAGATGTCGACACGTGAGAGGCGCACCTATGCAAAGTGACAGGGTTGAATAGACTAGAAAATGCTAGAAATATCTAGCAATACCTGAATCCTCCTGTCCAATGGTATTTACAGGGGACGCTGGGATTCTGACATTGACATGCCATCCTGCACCAGTGCGACATTGGTTGCTTCGGGAATGGCGGATCTTCTGCACCAAAAGACCACGAAGAGGTTTACCCGTTTCTGCGACATCCTTTAGAAGGTAGGCACTGACCCCTTTCTGCGGTCACAGATGTAGACAAACATCGTTTCAGAACGTGACATCCCCGTTTCCGCGCAGCACCTACGCGTACACTCGACGATGGAACATTTTCGACGATCCTCGTTGCTTCGGATGGCTTCAGAACCACCTGAAAGGACCGTTAGAGGTAGAGAGACCGACAGAGGTTTTGGTCGTTCCAGGTGATGCCAGTGGCCTTCCCTCCATCCAAGAGTCCAAACACTCTCTATGTGTGTTGCAGCTGATCATCCACCGTGAAGCTCCAGGGGCTGCTGGTGTCCTCTTCTCCAGCAAGCTCTTCGAAGGCGGGGTCTGGCACTGGACCCAGATAGATCCCTTGGAATAGGAGGTTAAGTGCTTCGTTATTAGTTGAAATTTGAGGCCAGCTGAGGTACAATAAGCGAACTCATGGAACTTACTGTATCTGATAAATTTAATTCAATTCTTGATGTGTAGATATAAGTAACAATATATGTAACAAATGCGTCTAGCTAAAAAGAGGTCGACACATACAAGTAGAAACTAATTGTATTGTCTAATGTAGGAATGAACCATAAAAGGAAGGATCAATCGGCCGACTGCATCTGGGGCAAGCCTCGCCCATGCTATACCAATGGGTACAACACCATGAACTATGTGCATACAGTGCTTTTGGTCCTGCAAGTGATGGGCGTGTCGTCTCCTTACCCTTTGAACTTGGTCGCTACATCACCTACATCACCTGAGCAGCGTCAAAAACCTCCCACCAACAGTTTAAGCAAGTCATGAGTACAGATCGTAGACCGGTTTTGGACACTGCTCACCTGCTCCTGTCGTCCGAAGCACCAGAGCGGGACTCAAGAGCCGAGAGCCGAGGGCCACGAGGACCAGATGGTGACGCCTGCGGGGCCCGCCACGCTCGCGCGAACGCCCGAGGCAAGCAGACACCAAAGTGCCCGAGGCAAGACGCTTAGCCAGCAAGACCCTTCATCGTAGTAGGCAACATCTTCGTTGACCTTTCTGGGTGCAGGGCTTTCGGACTTTCTTGACAAGTGCCTTGACCAACGGCGACGTTCTGTACGCTCGAGCAACGTTCTGCAGGCGTTGTTTGCAAACCCTTGGCACTGTGTGTCGTCATCGGAAGAACAAATGGAGATGCTTCAACTTCCTGGGTCTACCTCCGGTGCCCTGCTCTGGAGCTTGAGAGCAGCCTTGTGTTTTGCCCCAACGTTCCGCGCATGGAGCGGTGGCACGAAGAGTGAGCGGGTGGCCTGGCCTGGCCAGGCCAGGTCGACCCATGCTGGCGCATGGGCCGACCTGGCGAAAGCCTTTTTAACCGTTGGATCACTCCAGTGACATGAATTGCCGAAAGGGCATTATACAGAAGTCAAATTACCCTTGATGACTGAGGTTTACAATGGGGTGACAGGGTTGCTGCATTGGGTCCGGGATGATAGGTTTGAAGAACAACACATGAGGAGTTCCGTTCAACAGGGGTATATCGTTTACATGGATTCTCGATGTGTGTTCTTTGTCTAAACCTATCTACCTACCTACCTTCATATCTGACCTATTTATATATCCTAACCTATTCATATAATATCTCTATTCTAATATATATATATATAGAGATAGATATCTATATAAGCTGTATAATATCTCAAACCAATCTAACCTTCCAACCAATCAATTGTCTCTAATCTGTGTGCTCTCTCTAACCTATCCGACATATCTATATAATCTAATCTATCGAACGTCTGTAACCTATCGAGTCCATGTCTATCAATCAATCTTCTGTAATCTGGTTGGTTCTATCTAACTTATCCAACCTATCTAGTTTATGTATATAGCGTCTCTAACCTACCTAATCCATGTTATCAGCTAAATTTATCTAGTTTTATTGGGTCCATCCACTCTGTCCGCTCTATCTGATCTATCGCACCTATCTAATCTCTTTCACCGACCTAGCCTATCCACCCTATCCAACATCAAATCGGTATAGTCTATCTAATCAGTCAAACTGTTCGCTCATCTAACCTTTCTCATCTATCTGCTAAAGCAAGCTTGTCACGCATGTCGTACCACAACTTTGAGTCAGTTCATGTCACTTCATGCCACTTCGTGTTTTTGCAGAGTCGGTGGCGGAATGCGAGCCATTCTTAGCGTAAGTTGGATTTCAGGTCCAAACTTTCCCGTCAAAGTTCATCCCCGTTTGGGCGAATTTTCGAAGCTCCAAGACACAAAACGGATGGCGCCACCAACAAGTGAACTTCCAATGGGCCATGTTGATCTCCTCACAGATCATGTTTGGTAATACCAAGAGCATATTATACTAGCACTATGTCATGTAGAAACTACGTCACGGCAATGAACATGAACATATGAAGAACTGATTAGTTTCAACAAAAAACACAAGTACATAAACTCGTTGTGAATTCTATAAGTAGGACCCTTGTACCTGTACCCATCAAACTTATGAGTTGGAAAGTCCACTTACAAGACTTAGAACGTTTGTTGAACCTTAGAGTACTACTTCGCACACCTTATCTACTTGCCGAAGGCAGCTAGGCACCCTTCTACTTGCCAGGTTGATTCGTTTGTCACTCAGAGTCGTGGACTTTGGACCCTACTCTATGTAGATGGGACGTGTGGAGAAACAGCAGGTCAAACCCATCCTTCCAACAGCAACTTCGCCCCCTCCCGCCCCTCCGGCCCTCCGGCCCTCGGTCAAGGCTTCTTCTGTGCCGTCGAGGGGATCAGTCTTGGAACATGAGGCGGGCCACCCACTGCACCGTCGGGATGGGCCAGCCACTGCAGCCACCTTTGGATCGGCTCCGCCCGATGGAAGGTTGCTTTGGATTACTAAGAAAGGGTGGAGTCGGTTGGAGGAGCGGGCATTGAGGAGCACTTCCCTTTTTTTTAATATTTGTTTTTTTCGATTCTGAGGGAAAACCTGAGAGGCAGAGTTGATGCTTAGATCCAGTCTTGAGATGCTTTGGCGTGCTGTTTCAAATCATTGAATGCTCCAAATCAAGCATACAGTATACAGGTATTCTGATTTCGGGTGCCATCCACTGCGGTGAGGAACCGGTAATTTGATGCAATGAAAGCATGTGATTTGTGATTTGGATTTGGGATTTCAATGAAGTCAGGGAGTAAAGGACCCAAGATTGTGAGTTCCCCATGTGCCGCATTTGTGTGTGATTTTTTGTTTACCATCGGTGTTTTGAGATGTCCGTGCAGACCGTGACACTTCAAAGATGTGCCTCAGGTTTCGACCGGTGCTAAAGCACAGCAACGGCTATGCACACACCTGTGGGTTTGAGGTTAAGCATGCGGAATGCTGTGTAGATGTGGTTTTAGCTTTCGCATATATAGCAATTCCCTCAGCTTCAGGTTCTTGGCCTCATGTGAAGGCCAAGGGAAGTCTACTCATGTGAAGGCCAGAGGAACCAGAGGAACAAACACGGACGCAGTGTTGAACTCTTTGCTTTGACCTAAGACGCTTTGACCTAATACTTCTGTCATCTCCTTGAATGATTCATCGGATAGATAGACTCGCCTTCAAGGTCTTTCCCCAATGTCACCTTCATTCATCTTCAGTTTCTCGTGTGTGAAGAAATCATGTTGCAGCTTGAATCTGGTTATGACTTCCTTGATAAAAGAGCTGCCTTCGTATTCTGCAAAATTAGCCAGAAGTCAGAAATGGAGTTTGGCAAGATTTGACATGTCTAAAAAAACACATACACACACAACAAAAACATAAGTCATCAAACTGCGGATGGAGATTCTGAACTTCAGCATTTTGAACCATGAAACATTAGTTTCCCAAAGGCAAGCTGTTTCCCTGACAAACCGGACCTCACACCCTTATGCTCGTCCCTGAGACGAGATCGCTCAGGGCTCATTCTGGGTGAATGTGTTCGAGGTGGACAAGTGCGCCCACTTCTCATGCCAAGGGGATGGACAGGATCTCACATGTTTGACCTAGCTGGGTGGTGGTTTGGACGACAAAACGGTATACCTGTTCCATCTCTGTCACTGCAATATTCCAATGGACAAGTTGGTTTTGATGGTTTCAATTGGCCCGCAGTAGAGGCTCGGACAAACACAATAGCAACTTGGTTTGTGTAAGGATCCATGCTCTTGTTGGGTTTATGAATGCACATGACAAGAGCTATACATGAACTGCATAATGTGTATTGTTCTTTTATGGTTTGCCCTCCTTCTGAATCATCCGGGGTGTGGCGACTGTTGAGATGCCTTGAATATATTAGAAGTTGACATGCAAAAACCATCCAACACCACTATGTTGAGATGCCAGGCAAGTTCCTTTACTTGAAGTATCAGTGTTTATTCCCTATTAGTAAAAAGAAAAAACAGGTCTTCAAAATGGAGTCCACCTCTCTGGGCACTTGCTGCCCTTTTTGTTCATTTGGTCTCATAATACATCAACGACGTGCGCACACAAAAAAAACGGTCGAGATCACGACCCTCGGCCCCTTTTTTTCGGTGTCCTTGTTCGGCCACGTGCGCCACGTGCGCCGGTTCGCCGTTCGCCTGGTTAGGTACTGGTTTGCCTCGCCTCTACCAGGCCAGGACGGTGTGCCTTGCTTCGCGGATCCGGCGCTTTGGTCCTTTCGGTCGTTGATGGACGCGGCCATCCTTTGCTCTGAAGAGGACCGGAGCTTTGAAGAAAGGACAGCGAGTCTTTTCCAAAGGAATGCCCTGCAGCTGGTGTTTTGCAGTGTTTTGCTGGTGCGTGTTTGATGAGAAGCACGTGATGCCACAGCCAGTGGTTATCAGCATGGCCTAGAAGCAGTGGTTATCGGGGTGAGTGGCTTATTTTTGGTCTCCTGTTTCTTGGAGTCAGGTTCCTTTGATGCTTGCACAGGTGGAAAAAACAAACATGATCTTATTGTTCTTTGCGGAAAGTTAGTTAGGCAGCCATGTGGTGATTCTGCTGGGTTTGGAGTGTCAACCCTCAAGCTCAGGGCTTGGCTGCAGGGCTTTGGTGCTGGATGCACGATCCTGAAACCGGGTGTTCTTTTTCTATTTTTGTGACTGGATCCTGGATTGACATATCCAAAGCCAGTTTGTGCCTGTGGATTGGTATAGAAACTGATCGTTTTGCCCAGCTGCATCATGTTGTTCTTTTTGAAAAGCACGGGCTTATCCTAACGTTTGTTCTGCGAGATGGGTGAATATCCGCAGATTGACCTGATTTTTCTCAGGAGTTTTCTTTGTCGCGTGATGTTTAGCCTCAAGTTCTTCCGCCACCTGTTGAGAGAGGACCTCCAATGTGACTCCCGTCTGAAACCATGTTGAACCCCCGACCATTATACAAGCGGTTTAAATTACGGGCCATTTAGCATTTGATTCTAGTAGCTCATGATCGTTCATGTGATGGCCTGAGGTTCTGCAGGCAAGGGTGCTAAGGCCAGCCGGCCGCGATGGGAGTAGGAGATGATCACGTGATTGCGACTCTGGTGGATGGATACATGTTGTGTGTTTTTTACTTGCTTTTGCTGCATTTCTGTGCTCAATGTATGCATTTGGTTAAGAATAAGCACAGTATTTGAGACAGATTAAGGATGAATATGTTAATCCGATTCGGATCATTGAGCATTGGCTCTCCAGCAAAACAACACAATTGTACACATCATTCTTGCCAATGAACAAGGAATGAACAAGGACCTTCGCCGTGGGCAGTCCACAGTCTTTTTGCGATGAGAGTGTGTACACCATCTCACCAAGTTTATCCAAATTGTAACGAATTGTCAAGAGAGTGTTCAGGGTATACTGAGTACACTGTATACTTGTACTGTTTTGTTCTTGATTTCATCAATTTGTTGCTTCAAAGCAAAGATGTTTCATCTCAGCGAGGACGCTTCCGGACGCAAGTGTTGGTCACGTGTTGGGCCGTGTTGGGTCGCATCGGTCATGGACCGGACCTCTTAGACATCGGCGTCTTACGTGAGTCACGCCGTCTCGTGCGTGACCGTGTGAACGGTACCGAGGGTACTACCGACGAGAAAATGGCACCAACGGTACTAGAGAAGCCTGGTAGTTTGGGACTGCAGCTTTTGGTTTGGTCCTGGTAGTTTGCTCAATTCCTGGATGCTACACAGGGTCATGTTCCATGGCCAGAGTCAGCATCCACAAGTGTCCAATATGATTCAATATGCATTTAATGAGTTTTTTTAAAGCATCCAACTGTCTTTTGATTGGCAACTATTGACAACATGGGAAACATTCCATCACAGACATTATTCGAGATTTTCGAGGCCATTGTCCAAGTCTACCCTTAATTCACTTGACATCCCCCGACCCCGCCCCACATCCCCCCCACCCCCGCCCGCCTTCGCTTCGCGCGCGCGTCGCTTCTCCTGCGCAGGCCAGATGGACAGGCCTTGAGGAGGTGAGTCGGTTGCGGAACTGCCGTCGTTGGGTCAAGGGTTTTCAATATGCTGCCTTCACACCAAGAGAGGTTAAGTGACCGTAATAGGACCCTACTTGGGCTACCTATGGGATAGTCTATAGGGTTCTTCAACCTCTAAGTGCGGTCCTTGACCTGGAAGTGATAGAGCAAAAGTGGGCAAAAGAGGATGGATGCAGGGGGGTGTTGCAGTCGGGCTTGCCAGCTGGGACCAGTAAGCAGTTAGCATGAAGCCACACAGTCTTCATGGGGGGCAAGTCGACATCGTGGTTGGCAATTCCGTTCTGTGTTTGTTTGTTTTTTTACATTAAGATCATTAAGAAAATGTACCAGTTCTCTCACGAGAAACAACAGAAACAAAACATTGCCCATTCCAGACACATTCGAGACGGGAATCATTTGGAATGTTGCTTCCGGGTGCTGAAGTTGCGAGAAGCGAAAGTACGTCCCTGTGAAGGAGTACTAGTGGATGCATTGTTATTACATGTGTTTAAAAACAAATCATATGTGTCCCCAAATCTGTAGAATACCATTCCATCCTGGCTCCATACAATGGTCACTGAGTGTAGTTGCCCCACCTGCCCCACCCACCTACGAGCTGTAGCCAATTAGCCGGGACAGCACAGGATTGGGCCGAGTTGACGACTCCAATTGATGCAGTCCTGTTTGGCGTACCCGCTTTCCCCCCAAAACCCATTTGTTGGCTCCAAGACTCGCGGGAACGGAAGTGACGGGGTTGGGGACATTCAATTTGGAATATAACAGCATACCGCATACCGGTTACTGTAATCATACATCCGGATAAATACATGCATATATATATATATATATTACTTAAATAGTTGCCTGAAAAAACGATTTTTAGGTACCACGACAGAATACCAGTCACAGGAACCTCGGGGTGCTGAACTTGGAGGAACCTCGGGGTGCCCCTGTCACAGTCGGTGTCCACGCTTCGGGAGACTACCACCGTGACGAACGACCGTTCGATCCGTTCGTTCCACCGACCTCGGTGCCAGGGCTCCATCGATGTGGTTAAGCTGGTCCAATGCCTGAAGAGGCCAACGCCCCTCCAGGTGCTGTGGGGCAGGACAGTGGCGCCCACTAGCCGCAGTGGTGGCTGCCAAGACCCGGTGTGGTGGTGTTCTTTTTCCCTCAGATGAGGAAGGTGGACGTTGAAGCAATGGATTTGGATTTGGGATGATCCCGACCTTCCTTCTTCCCGGAAGTCCAACTGGGAGGTCTCCCTAAATTTCAACACTTAATGGACATATGTTGAAACACACCTAGGACCTGCTTGTGTGTCGATCACGGCAGGTGTACATACCCCTGAAATCCAGAGGCAGGCAAGAGTGAGCCGTGTCCGAACGCGCTCTGGCTGCAGGCGGAGAGGGCGCAACTGTCCACCGGGCTGAACAGCGGTGTGTTGGCAGGCAGAGCACGGAATGTATGTGCTTCTTCGCCTTGGGTTGGAGGCCATCGCTACTAGGGTGGAGGCCATCGCTAGTAGGTTGGAGGCCATTGCTATTAGATGCTAATAGAAACGAACAAGAACGGGAAGAAAGGTCTGCTCCCACTCAACTAACTCACTGGCTCACTCACTCATTCTGGGTATAAGTCGCTTTGCCATGAGGTTGTTGGACATTCTTGATTCTACTGGTTAACCTGACATGAGTCACTGCATGACTTTTGGTCGGTTTGGACGGATGAGAAGCATCCGTGGAAAAACAAAAAGCACAACCGTTGCATTTTGTGGGTCGCTTGAAGCCTGGATGCTCACATTTATTCAAGTATATTCAAGTATATGGGCATTGATGAAGCTTTTTGAACGACTTGAATCGATGATTCGGCAGCACTCAAGTGGAAAGAGCTCCTTTGAAGGAGTGGGAGACATATAATCCAGCCCTCTACAATCCTGAGGTATTGGATACCTGTAGTATGTGTCACAAGGGATTGCTTAGGAATGTAGCCTCAAGGAACAAATGCGACATGTTCAATTCCTTTGCTGCTGGACTGCTACGCAGAATCATATTCTGAGTCTTCGCCACTACAGTACAAGGGATCGTCGTCGACCTACACATCACCATACACAGTTAGCTTGGAAATGTGTGCGCATTGACCTTCCAACCACCCGGTCTGTGAGTTTATTTGTATTTTTAGGTCCCCCTATTTCAATACAGGCCGGGCCCTTGCAGAAAACGCCTCGCCAACCAGAAAAACACGCGTCGCATCACGCGTCGCAAAAAGCGCCTCAGTGGACGTGCTGGCGCCCATCGGTGCTGGCCAATCGATGCTGATTTGTGGGCCAGAGGCGGGGGGCAACCCGTGGTGTGTGGGATCTTCTAGCAAACAGTGGTTTCTTTGGAAGGTGTTTGTTACACTGCACACACAGTGCTTGCGCGTCCTAGTGCCTTTGGGAGCGTTATACACGGGGTTTAGGTAAAATCAGACAGGTATCAATCATTTTTCACATATTGATAAGCGTGGAAGCCTGCCGGGAGCCCTGCAGAGGCAATGTGGGCCACCAATACCAGTTGTTTTTTTCTGCACAACAAGGAGTCATTCATTGGCGGTTAGGTAGAAACACAGGGTAGGCTCGGATAGAGCCAATTGTTCATTTTTTCCGAATCTGCACCTGCACGTATGGATCTCTACGCGATCTGAGTTGAAGACTTGCTCAATTTTGCTGCCCGAGTTGTGCTTCAGCAACAAGGCTACTACTAATAGCAATGCCCTTGTTACTAGCCTAGCTTCTTGTTACTAGTAGCGATGCACTTGTTACTAATAACGATGCCCTTGTTCCTAGTAGCGGCCAGGAGCTACTAGTAACGTCCTGAGCTACTAGTAGCGTCCTTGCTCCTAGTAGCGATGCTGTTACTACTAGTAGTTTCGAGTCTAGTCTCGAGGGCGCCTCGCCGGTCCGTGTCATCGATCAGGGCGCGGGAAAAAGCACCCTGGCCTCACAGGCGGGGACGCCGTGTTGCGGAGGACGAAGCAAAAGGAAGCAGAGATAAGGAACTATGAGAGGTAGAACTAGAGGAATTCTTCTCATGAGTAGATATGAGCAGGACAGGTCGTGTTCGGGAATTCATGTGTTTGTGAAGTCTATGTATTTTGCGAGAAGTGGGACATGGTGGCCCTGTATGGACATGCCGACTATTTTTGCCCACACGACACAGTTTGATTGGTCAGTAAAAGGACGCCCATATCCTACCCAGCCAGTGCATAGGCTTGATCACATTTTTGGGTGATGGGTTTCCCTAACCAAATACTGTATATAGGTGGAAAGTTGGGTTCACAGGTATTTTTGAGGGAAACGCCGCCAGGGTCAGCTGTCCAGGCCACCCAAACTGTACCTACCTGTCTTGCACCGCCGCCGTTAGTTGATGTCATGGACCATTAGTTGATGGTGTGAAACAGCTTGTGAAGTCTGGATGTTTCGGGCTGGTAGTTCTATTATGATCTAATTGGTGCGCCTACTGATATGTATCTAATTGGCTGGAACTAACGAAGTGGATGGCATGGCCCCGAAAGGAAGACCATGAAATCCACAACAAACAGGTGGTGCCATCCACTTCCATGTTAGTTCCAGGGAGATTATGTGTATATATATAACAATATGTTTAGATTCTTAGATATTTCCGGAAGGAACGATGCATCATATGATTATCTATGATCATCTACACATGAATGATGGTCACAACAACCGTTATATATCTATATTTATATATTTATAGCATGCTGCTATTCAGGTCCGCAACTTTCATCCAAGTGGGGCAGCACGGGCTTGCCTCAGTGAGCCCACCCGGGTTCACCAGCTGGAACGAGTGGACAATCGATTGAGTCAATCCTGACCCGGCACCTGGCCATTGATGAAGACCTCGGGTTCACCAGCAGTTCTGACCATCAAAAGCTGGATGTTGTGTCACCTTATTTCTGGTAGAGGATATTGAACCAAGTGAATTCCCAATGAACAGTGATGACCACTAGATAAGTGAGTCTCCCCGGTTGCTTCCACTCTAGTTCCATATAGTTACTATTTATTTGGGAACGTTCATGTTTGGTACCCCGGCCTCTCATCAGGTCATGGAGCAAGTGCTCCTTCAGCGCCATGTGGATCAGGCCGGCCGATGTGCCCGCTGCACCTCGAGATCCCCCCCAGCTGCGCCCGAAGCAAACAGCAAACACATGTGACGGGTTCTCTTGGTTTTTAGGAGACCGAAGCTGTTTTTCGCCTTGATCAACCAGTCCTGGATTCAGTGGATGGCAGATGCGGTATTGACCCGAGGTGTCTAATGCATCCAATGCCTGAACCCAAGGCCAGACCCTTTCATGTAACACAGCGTTTCAGGATGTTTCAGGTAAACGGCCGCCAACCTACTAGCAATGGCCTCCAACTTAATAGCAATGGCCTCCAACCCAAAGCTGTTGCCTGATGTTGAATCCTGTCACCCATGTTGCCTTGTGCAAAGTTGTCAACGAGATCCAACCGCCATGCACACAATCTAAGGGAACCACCGATTCTATTGGGGCTTCCCATGTTCCGCCAACCAGACCCAACCAGACCCAACCAACCAACCAACCTGGTACCGTTGAAGAGCATGCATTCCGTCCTGCATCCCAGGAAATAGCATGGGGATCAGCTTTCATAAGCTTGCATAAGCTTTCATACCAGCGGAAAAGGGTGCTTCTGTGTAGTTGAATCAACTTCTTTGATGGTCGAACACCCCTAAGATCCCTAAGTAGTTTCCTGGGTGTGAAATCTTGGTCAGATCTGGGTCTTCCGCTCTTGGTCAAAAGCTGGCTTTGCCCATTACAACGCTACTGGAGTTTTCCAATACCCATTCTGAATAGGTCCAAAACATATGGAACACTGGGGGCTGAATTCAAGATCACACACTTTGATATTGGGTTTGCAGTTAACTCAGTTCCCAGGTCGAAAAGGGCGATGGAACAGAAAGGTGGCAAGGTCCGCAGAAAAGTATTGTTTAACAAAGGTTTACGCACATCTACAGCTCACGACACGGCGGTGGCGAAACGAACGGCGCGGCTCATCGGCAGAAAAAGGTTTTGGGAGGTATCGTGCAAGGACCATGAACCAAAAAATGGAGAAGTGGAGTCACAGCTTTCTCAAAAATTCTCGCAGGTACACAGTGGAGCGTCCTCCACTGCATCAGCACCGACTGGCACCCTCTTCGTTGGACGCGCGGTGCCAGTGGTGTCCCATCCCCCTGCGTGTTGAAAACTCTTGGAAACAGAGTGTGATACACACACTCAGCCGCTTTGCGGCGCTCTGGCGTAAAGACCTGAATAGGCACCAGAAAAGCCTTAGAAAAGAAAGAAAGAAAAGCAGAAAGAGCAGCGCTAAAAGGGCAGGAGAGAGAGATAGGAGTAGCGAAAAGTGAATACTTAGCCTTTGACGGGGGTAGGGAAACGAGCCTCAAGAACCACCTAAAAAGTCTCAGAGAAAGCCCAAAAGAACAAACGACGAAAAGCGCAAGAAAGAAAGTGGGGGGCAGGGAGGGGATGTATGTAACATGTGTGTGTCCGTGTGTGTGTATGACTATCTAACACTCTAGAGTTACTGACTACTTAGCAGAAGTGAATTAGGTGCAATAATTAGGGAGCGGGACTTTAGTCTTAAACCGCCCGGGTAGAGTAGACTAGAAAGGGACAACAGAGGGAAAGGCACTGACACACAAGTGTGTCGAATACCATTTCCCTCTGTTACCCTAATTAGAGGGAGGGGGGGTTTGGGGTGTGTGGGTAGAGAACGCGTTTGGGTTAATTCTCCGTAAGCCCGGCGGCTTTGAGTTTCCGTGAAGCCCGGCGGCTTTGATTTTGAGAATGCAGAAGTGAAACGAAAATCGGTTAAGATAATCCAACGAGTGCAGAAAGCAGTAAAGTCAGTTAGTGGTAATCCGGCATGAAATCAGCGCCCGTGACGGGGATCACACTGTGCACCCACCTGGGACGGCACAGCGGCACACACTTTGATATTGGGTTTGCAGTTATAACTCAGTTCCCAGGTCGAAAAGGGCGATGGAACAGAAAGGTGGCAAGGTCCGCGGAAAAGTATTGTTTAACAAAGGTTTACGCACATCTACAGCTCACGACACGGCGGTGGCGAAACGAACGGCGCGGCTCATCGGCAGGAAAAGGTTTTGGGAGGTATCGTGCAAGGACCATGAACCAAAAAATGGAGAAGTGGAGTCACAGCTTTCTCAAAAATTCTCGCAGGTACACAGTGGAGCGTCCTCCACTGCATCAGCACCGACTGGCACCCTCTTCGTTGGACGGGCTGTGCCAGTGGTGTCCCGTTCCCCTGCGTGTTGAAAACTCTTGGAAACAGAGTGTGACACACACACACACACACCAATACCAATTTTTTATGGGATGTACTCCCCTACTAGGTTCTACAGGAAAATGGTCTTCCATCACGTGTTTTCCTTCTCAGGCTTCCATGGGATGGGGTTTCAGACGCTCCGTTCACAGCCCTTGCTCCCTCAAAAGCCTCGGGATGTGAGATGCCAGACCCCTCCCAGACGCTTCGCTTCGGGTCCAACCTTCCGGTTCGGGGCCGACGAACGGGCGATCCGCGACACAGGCGATCCGCTTTGCCTCGGATCCCTGCTGTGCCCCGTTGGACACAGTGCTGCACCGCGCCGGGGCCTTGCAACAACTGGCCGCCTGGGCTGCACGGTGAGAGGCGAGGAAGCGGAGAGAGGGGTGCTCAGCGATGTGGTGTTCCTTTAAGGACTTTAAGACAAGGTAAGATATATTATGTCAAAGATGGTTTGATGATGTTTGATGTGTTCTTGTTTTTTTGAAACGTAGGGGTTTGGGTTTCTCCCAGATGTGTTGTTCTCCTCGACTCCTCGATGTCTCTTTTTCTCCCAGGATCTTCCAGAAATTGGATCTCCGGGTGAACCAGGATCGGTCGCATTTTTAAAAGTGACCGCCCATGCTGATCTTGCCCTGAATTTCCTGGGTCTGCTGATGCACGTCAGACGTGGGTAAACTGATTCAGCCAGAGTTGCCCCACCTATGACATCGTCAAATGAGTAAGCTAGTCGGCCCGCAATTGAGAGACGCATAGTTCCATTTGAAGGTATTGTTTAACATTGTTTTCAACATGTGTTGGAACAACCACCTCTAATTTTTGTGTGTGTTGTGCGCATGAATTGTGTTTCCAACCACACCTCCATCACTGGATGTTCGAGTCGCGCCCCTCCGCAAAACAGCGTGTTTTTCGCATTGAGGTGGCACTTCCCGATGCGCTTTGGGCGCAAGAATTGGGGGCTTCGGGGCAAGGGCTATGCCTGTGGGTCAAGACTGGACCCGGGTTGAGCGAAGATGAACAGAATAAACTGCTATAAGGACCCAATGAGGTCTGGTTCATGTCTTAACCGAATCAGGGTCATTTTGGGGCCACCCGGGTGCAAGCGACCGCCGCTGTGGTCCTAGGTCTCGAAAGATGTGCCGTTCTTACCCAGACACTCCATGTATGCCTAATATATGCTTACATTGGGGTGGTGCCAGGGGGGTCAATGTAGGCATATATGGAAGTCCCATGGAGTGTTGGGTTAGAAGAAGATGAATTCAGGAGACCTCCCGATGTTCACGCCACGGAAGATAGAAAATAGACGGAGGACACGCCCTAGTTTTGAGGCAACACGCCCACATTGCGTGTGCTGATTTGTTCTCCTCAAACCATTGTATACAAAGGTGGTCTGAAGGGTTGTAAAAGCCAAAGATAGCTTGTTGTTTGCTTTGCTTGTGTCAGCATTGGTAAGAGCACGGTCCTGGAAAGAATGGAATTGACCAGCGTGAGAGGTAGTGCATTTAATTTGATTTTGTAATATGCTACAAGCATCTACAAACTAGGCGGGTATGGTGTTCAAGGCTTGTCAAAGAACTGAGCATAACTGAGCCATTTGTAGAGGCATCCCAGAAAACAATGGCTTTGAGCCGGACATTGTTTCCTTCTGTCTCGACAAATCTAAGACTACTCTGATTTCGCATGGTGCTGAATGTGTTGGTTCTGGGCTGGCATGGTCCAGTGCAGAGTGCATGGTCTTGGAGTCAAGCTACACCAAAAGCTGCAAGTGCTCTAGAGTCAGAGTGATCACGAAAGGTAGCTTGAGCTACCTGAGTTCTCCTTGCTTTAGCAAAAGTATATTACAATCAGGAGTTGGGATTTTGCATTGAATTTGGTCCTGCAAGAGTTGATTCTGTTCGTCGGGGGGGGGGGGGCCGCCCCCCCCTCCCTGGATCAAATCCCCCCTGCGCCGGTTCACGCCGTCATGGACTTCTACCAGGGTAGACTTGTGATTGCCTGCTACCTTTCGTTCACCCCCTCCTCTCTCAAGTTTTTGTTTGGGTATCTCGATCGCTTGAGGAAAACTGCTGAGAAGTCGTTCAATCCCAATTCTCAAAGCAGTTGACGCCCCAGCGACCCAGCCCTTGTAGTGACGACTTCCGTGACTTGCTCAGGAAAATCATACACTCTCCAACAAAGTTCGGAGACGGGGGGAGACACATAACAACAAAGAGGGCAAAAAAGGATACCAAAAAGGCTTCAAGCCTCCTACCTTCAGTTTGAGCTGACGAACCAAGACCAAGCATGTGCTGACATGGACCAGCTTCATCCACTAATGTCTGATTTCCTGCCAGTGGTTTGGATTTCAGACCAGCTTCATCCACAGATCTCATGTCAGTGCTTTTTTGTAATCCATCCACAGATCTGCCATCTTCTGCTGCCATCTTCTCCTGCCAGTGTTCAATGTGTGTTTCTCTTGCGATCACCCCCCCACCCCCGGTCCCACCGACACCGAAGGCAGATAGCGCGGGTCACGCGGACGCCTCGGCTGCGCTGCTGCCGGCGCTTTGGGCGGCGGTGGCGGCTGCGGAGGTGGGTGGGATGTGGATGGTGGGCCAGGTTGGAATTCAAATACTTAACTTAACTGATAGCAATGCTACTAGGGCAGAGGCCATCGCTATTAGGTTGGCCATCGCTACTAGGGTGGAGGCCATTGCTACCCACATTGACCCCTGAAATCAACCACCCGAACTGATCGGCAAAGATGCAAGTCCCATCAGTCGTGTTTGGGATTGGTTGGCCACGTCGAGATTTGACGACATACCTGGTGCACTGGAATTTCACTCATTTGTACTAGCATGTTGGATTTTGGATGATTTTGGTGTCCATTCCAGTGTATGTTTTTGCATGTTTATACTATGTACTGGATGCATTGGTTCGAGTCTCGAGCTGTCAAGTGACACATCTCTATTGCTTCATGTATGTTCACGTGATTGGCAGGTTTTTCAAGAGGCTCCTTTTTACCAGATGGAGTGCTCATCCAGTCCGAATACGCAATCTGATCGAAGGCGCCGGATCCGACTTGGTGAGACACTCCGGCTCCAACGAGAACATACGATAGTTCATACGGCGTACGGCTGTTGCGAACTGGAAGAGACCGCTCGGGTCGGCGGAGGGCCATATTCATCTCCCCAGGGAACATACGGAGCGACCGCTGGAGTTCCGCCCGACAAGCAAGACCTGGCTGTCAAGATCAGGGTGTTGACGTAGCAGTGGAAGATTACACACAGATTGCTACAGTGAACGACGTGCCTGGGTCGTTGCGCAGCGAAGGCTCAAAAAGAGTTAACAAAGATGGACCACACAGGTCAGCAGGGAAAGTCACCCATCCTCCGGGCTGACCTGCTGGCCGGTTTTTGCCTCGTAGGTATTTCTACTGACCAAATCAATTGAATCACACGCTGAGTAGCGTTCAACGAGTGGGTTGACGGGTCAAGTAACAAGGCTCCCGGAGTTTCACATCCTTTTCTGTCCCCTACGAAGGCGATCGATCTAAGGGCATTGAACGGCATTAAACGGCTATCCAGGACTGCCGCACCTCTGGGCAGACGGCATTGCTGGTCTTGGATACGGCGCGGGCGCCTGAGTGAGCGCCTCTTGCTGTGGCGCGTCATCATTTTTTGGTTTTGCTGCGGGGAGAGAGACGTTCTGGGATGTTTGGGACCTGGGAGACGTCTCCCGGATCCGTTGGAGGAAAGTCTCGCACCTTTTTTCACACGTCACATGTGACCGCGGTGTTGAAGGCGGACACGTCACATGTTGAAGGGTCCTTTGATGTGCTTTTAGAGGTTAGAAAACACATGCACATAGACAGGCCAGGAATTTGATGCCCCCAAAGATCCTCAATCAACAGCATCATGTGATTTCCACAACTGGGCAGCCTTTTTTGCCTCTGGCGGCTGCCAGTTTCTCTCCAGTACTGATTTGGCGGCCATTTTCACGATTTTCATGCATGTTCATCCTTGTGGGGAACATGCTCAGCAGCAAAGCTCGAAGACGAACACTTGTGGACATCTTGGAGCGGGAGAAGCACGTGTTTAGCTCGTTTTCCTGTTGTTAGCATTTGGGTTTGGGGTTTTCATCATCTTTACCGGCAAATCTTCAGTATTTGTTCATCTGGTGTTTCTGCCCTGAAGCTTGTGAATTCTTGATTTCATGAACCTTGATGTTTACACTTTGCACCACTGCCGCTCACAATCATGCTCACCGACAAAACAAGCACGGAGAATCATCGAGATTCAAGCTACAGCTGCTAAGATGCTCTCAAGAGGCCAGAAAGCATGCAAAGCTGCATCAGCTACTGCTACAGCTGTTGTTTGCTTCCCATGCAGGAAGATGCAACCATTGCCTCATTCCTGAGCCTGTTCACGGATGCAGTCTCCTTTGATGGAGCCATTGCGGCCATGAGCGATTTGCAAAAGTAATGGAAGTCTTTGCGGGAGGAAGCCTGGGTATGCAAGGTGCATATTACAGAAGTTTTCCTCTTGAAAGCGCTAATTCAAATCCAGTCAGGCAAAGAATCAGGAAATGATGCTGAAGCGTCTGGAAGAGTTGTGATTGGAAAGCAGCTGGCTGGCGTTGCAGCCAACCAGTTGTCAATAACCAAGAACCAAATCAGTGACTGGTTGCTCTCAGCCGCGCAAAAGGCTCTTGAATCCTGAGAGGTAAGCCAATGCGGCTGAGTAACCAATTTTGGAAAACAATCCAGCAGCGAAAGCCAATCCTTGCCGAATAGTGTTCCTATTTTATTATATATATATATATTTATTTATACGGTTTTCGTGTGTTATATTATATTACATTATATTATACTATATTAATATTGCTTATAGTATTTGTTTTTGCGTGGATCTGATGTAAAGAGCGAGGTTTACAGGTTTACATTATACATGTTGGGAGAAGCGCGGCGTGCAGCAAGTAGCTATGCTAAGAAACCAGATGACAACTTCAGCTCGCATGTCGTGAGATGTCGTGAGAAGAATTGGGCGATGGTCATAGCATGTTATTTGGGAATAGAACGGGAAGTTGGAGCGTGTACCGAGTGCAAGAATTGTCAAACAGTGAAAAAGGTGATGGATACGATAGGAAGAAAGGGACACCAAAATCCAAAAAGAAAAAGGCGAGGAAACAACGCATGTAAAATAAACAACAACCAAAATCAAGATGACATTAAAACATAGACAATTTGTATTTTCCAGTGCCTGGCCGGATAAGAAAAGCATAACCTGCAAACTGCCTCCATCACGGTGGCAAAGGCAAGCAATGATGAACGTCTCAGGAGAGCCCTGTTTCGCAAATACCGCGGCAATGTGCACTTTTATATTCTGGCATTCTGAATCTATCTGGAACAATTGCTGACATGTGTTTATAGTTTATTCTGACATTTTATCTGGCACATATTCAGGCATTTGGCCTGGCATGTGGTATTTGTCTGACCTTTTTTGACCTGTGCTTGCCACGTGGACCACCTCGCTGCCAGACTTGTGAGTTTGCACTCCTCATCGACCGAGCAGGACGGAACTCGACCGTCCAAAACAAGCAAAACACATGGTTACGTGGAACCTGGCCCCGACATCCGATGACAATGACCACGCAGTGTTTCTTTCTGCCCCCTGCGTGAGGATGCCAAGGAGTGTACAGAATTAATTAATAAGTGTTCCTTTTGGAGATGACCCAACTGAAATGGGCCGCGCGTCTGCCAGTTGGCACCCTTGCTGGATGCCTGGCGCTTGGCGGTAAGCATGGCTGAGGAGGCGCCGGCGCCTCACATCCCATGCGCCCAAGCTTCCGGACCACAGAACTGAATGCTATTTTTCAGAGACCAACCTATAGTCAATGTCAGTCACTTAGTTAGTCGTTTCTTCGCGTTTTTGTTCTTTTTTTGTGTGTGTGTTTTGTTTTGTTTTTTGGGAATGACATGGAGTGACTTAATGAAGAAGGTGTTGTGTTCAGACGATTCCTATGTTTGTTCCACCGCACCGGTTGAACCGCCGGAGGCTTCCGGCTCCTTGGATCTGGAATCCTTGAGCGCCCAGCGGCGGGGTGCCTTTGCGGCCTGGGGAACCCAGGGGTTTTCCGCGCGGGTGACGCGCGGCGCGTCGTAGGTCCGGTGTTCCAACTGAAGAACGAGACACCGCAGGGGCACACAAAAAAACCCAACATTGAATAGTTTATATAGCTGTTAGTTTTGTTTTCACTAGCTAAGCAATTGTTTGGCGTGTGCGGCACCTCTTTATATTTTAACATATATATATATATATTGGGGGTCACGGGACCTGCGTCCTCGCGACGGGCGTGCTGAACCAGGAAAAACACTCATGGCCCCAAGGCAGACTCGGTCCGGCGAAGAGTCTTCCGTCGGTTGTTGGACCATAGGGTTCCAAGTACCTCCGCATAGTATTTGGATCCTCCAAACTCCCCTGTCCCACCTTCGGAAAAGGTACAACTGGAGCCCTAGTGAGGCTTGTTGAACTAGTCTTGGAATTTGGTGAGTTACTGGTCAAAACAGCCTCCATTGAAGACGACATGAATGGGGAGAGCAATCCGCTGGTGGTTTGCATAGCCAGAAAACACTCCAAGCTGGAGTTTGCTTGATGTTCTAATCCGCGTGCTCTGCTCAGAACCTGCTGGAGCGGGCCTCCAATCTGCACGCGGGCGGCTCTCTGACGATGCCGGGCAGACCCAGCGGACGGCAGTGGAGCCTGATGGATCTTGGAATGACGAAGCTGCAAACAGTCCAAGATTTCGTCGATGTTTGTGGTCATTATAAGACATATGCTGGGCAAGAGTTAGATGTTCCTGTGGCACAGTGCAGGTGTTTTGAATCCCAAGAACGGTTGCGAGGCATGGGATTGTAGTGTCGTCCCTGTGTGCAGAGTTGACAGTGCAGGAGTTTGTCTAAAGACCAGAGACTTTGCCCTAGCAATGTGATTCGCTTACTGCTCATTGGCCATTACTCCACATGGTTCCATGCACCCTTTTTACCAGGCGGACGCATGGTAGCGGTCGTCTCCAAACATGCTACAAGCAACTTTGACCCACATCCATAGCAGAACCTTCCGAGTGCCATATACATGTACGATTGCCATGCAACCACCTGGTGGGTTGAACCTCATCGAAGAGAGCTCAATGGCAGAGTTGCACTGGAAAGTATTCCCGCTGAGCAATCGACGACATCCCTCTCACCCCCCTGAAGACTAACTAACATGGACTCTGAAAACCACTGAGGAAAAGAATCTTTCAGGGTGCCCAAACCACAGGGGGTCCATGATATTCCATGATGAGTTTCCGGGAGTACCAGTGACTATAGCCACCCCGTCTCTACCATCGGCCGGAGACGTTGAGACCGTCTACCGTCGGCCGGAGACGTTGAGCTCGCCTCGTTGGAGAGGAGCAAACCTCGCCCGACCTCTTTGGGCAAACCTCCGACCTCCCAGCATCGGCCCAAGCACCAAGCACCAATCCCACCACCCACAGATCCACCGATCGACGGATCCAGACTGAAAAATCTCAGGCTGGCACTGCTGGAGACGGAGGCACCGGGGGACCGGCGGAGACAGACAAACATAGATCGTCCAAGCCTGGGGAGGGGGTCACCATCGTCCGGGAGCTCAAGCAGTGCGTCAGACCGCTGACTTGCTGTCTGGATCAGATCATCGAAAGACTGCAGGCTTCGAGTGGCCTCATCCTTCTGTGCTGGTTTACCAATTTACCAATTTCTCAATATATTGGCCATGGAAGGCTTTGCCAAGCTCTTCGGTCTGCACATCCATCTCTTGAAATCTTGAAGCTGTCAGTCAGGGACATAGCAACAGGCAAAGTTCGTCCAAACTGTAGAGCGCAAAGTAAGTGAAGTGGACAGCCTCAAGCCCAAGCCTCTGTCAGCGAGCTCCGCCCTGCTTTCACCCCCAGAAGCCTGCACCAAACTTTGCAAGGGTGTTGGCTTCTTTTTTTCTTTGTACTTGCGATTCCACTGGTAACCAACTTGGTGATGATCCTTTACGAGCCATAGATTCGTAGAAGTCTGCGCAGGTGGGAGAATCTTCCCAGGTGCGACCACCTGACTGCCCTGTCGATGGCCTGTCGAGGCTCTAGCAGCCATGGGTGTGAGCAGTGCCGGAAGCCCCGGGTCGTGTGGCGTGTGGTGTGGCGATTTGGACGACGCATGAGATGGCGCTGATGAGATGGATCAGAGGGTCCAACTCTAAAAGTGAAGACTCAACCAGGTTTCTACGATCCTAAGTATAGAATATATATATATATAGACATTATGGTCCAACAAGGACACATCAATGTGACTGACATATCAATATCAACCCTGTTACCTGTTGCTTATGCACGTTTTGTGCTGGAGGATGACCATGGACCATAGAGGGTAAGAACTGATCAGATGCAATCACACATTCTAGGTGGGTCAAATTCTTCCCAACCAAAACGCTTCTGACCGGTGCTTTGTCTGACCGGTGCTTTGTCGTCTGTTTCCGATAAACTATGAGAAAGCCACTCAGGCAGGCTGAGGCATGAACTTGGGAAACCAAGACCATTGATTGACCAGCAATGGAGGGTGTTCCGCTTTGAATTAATTGCATCTCATCACGTGATAGTCATTTTCATGTGATAGTCATTTTGTGGCGTTGACCTTGTCATCACGTGGTCGGCAGGCCGGAGTGGTCGGGAGTAGACATACTCCGTGCGGCTGCCTGGGACTGAAAGAGTGGTGTGAAGACTCTGGGGGAATTCGGTCTGGGGAAACTGCTTTAGGATGGTGCGTTTCCTGGTTTGCATGGCTGGTTTGAGCTTTGGCGTTCAGTCCCCTGCTTCGGACTTGGAAGGCTTCTCAGGCTTCTCTTGCCGCATGGATGGCGTTTCCACTAGGGACCTTGATGGCGTTTGAATTCATGGATCGGTTTCGACAAGGGAACTGAATCCGCTGGGCATCATGATCTTCAGAATTTGAATGATCTTCAACTTGATTTCTCGACATGTTGTGCTTGTCCTTCTACTTGTGTTTTTTTGGAGTTCTCGGACAAGCAGAGTACTTGAATGGCTTGCGAATTGTTGAAACTTTGGGTTTGAGTGGAACTGGGTTTGGGTGTAGCTCCTTTAAAAATCCCATTGTTTTCATCCAGTTGTATAGGCACTCAGAAGTATTCTTGCAAGGCTTCCCAAAAGATATTTATGTATTAATTGGAGTGAACATTATGTGTCCTCTTCCAACATAGGTGCCAACACAGAATTGAAAGACCACCATTTTAAAATTGAGTGCATAACTAAGAATGGGATCTGAATAAGAACGGGATTTGCATGGCTGGTGACTACTCAACACTAAGCTGGCTTTATTCAAAGATTTCAGGACGGCGCCGTGCTCAGAAACTATAGCCGTCACATCCAAAAGCATTCTGCATGGGTGTGCATTTATTAGCGAGATCCCCAAACAAATGGGTTTGGTCTATTTCCCTTCTGTCTCCCTGATACACCTCCATCTACTTAATGTAAACTCTTGATTAATCACTCCCGCATACCCCTGCATTTGAATCGAACATTATTTTACGGGGGGTTATATATTCATCAAGAGTCTAGTCTACATTGTTCCTTTATGTTGCGTTTGTTTCCCAAGCTGGATTCTTAGATATTTTTCCACCAGACCATCCAAGCTGAGCCCGGATGACACTCTCCACACCAGGTCGTCCAGCTATTCAATCGAGGAGTTCGGCGACCGCAGGCGGGTGATGTGACAGCTTCGGACGGGTGAAGATGATCCTTGAAGGGCCCCACAGGCGGGGCGTTCCTTGGGGGAAATGTGAACGGATGTATGATGTACCTGTATATAAGTGCATGTACATCATGTAACGTATTAAACAATCTATATGGTGACAGCATCGCTCATAGTTGCATTCCAGGGTGCCTTCGGTCACGCCGATCCTACCGTCAGCGGCAGCTCAAGCCGTTCGCAGCTGGGCAGCCTAACCGACCTCGGTCGGCTCGTGGGAGCATGCGAACTCTCACCTGGACCGCCGTCGTCGTTTTAGCAGCTGCAAACTGGGAAGAGGAGTGCCAAAGTGAAGAAGTGGACGTGTGGCCTGAGGGCTTTGTGGCTTGGTATGCGAAGAACACCAACATGTGGTGCCTTTTTTTCGTTGGTAGAACTGGCAAAGTATCCATTTTGGACCTACAAAAAGGTAGGAAACCATATGCCATAGTAGGAGCTCAGAGTTTCTGGGGGGCATGTTTAAAGAATTTAAAGGCTCGTCGTTTCAGTTTTCTTTCACCTCTTTCGTGACACCCGATCTTGGAGACCCGATGGGTCGCCCCTCAAGCCCGCCCGCGTGGGGCGGCTGAGCAGTGGAGTGGTTGGGTCACCTCTTCCCTCAGGTCGTCCAGATTTCTCCCAAAGATGGTGTGGCCTTGGACTCGGCGTGGTGCCATGGCTGAGCACCGGAGACAGCGGTCGGAAGTCGATCGAAGCGAAATCGCAAGCAGCCATAGAGAACGCCAAGCTATGATTTAATCCCTCAGACGATTAGATTGCGAGAGTTGATGAATATTGAGTTTCCTCAGTTGCAAGGTGGTGTGCAAAGCAACTGTTGCCAAATGATACCCAAAAACAAGGTGACATAACGCATGGTATTATAGGTACATGGCCACCCAAACCAATGGATCCACATTTTAAGAAACATATTCCATGTATTCTTCTTTCCGTTGGCAGCACCAAGCAGGAAACCAACCGGGCTCCTACCCCATGTGGAAACCAGAACCGGTGTGCTGACTACGGTGCGGTTCGCCTCTCCGGGCGTTCCAGGCTTCGGAACTGGACCCAGGAGAAGAAAGAGTGTCTCAAGAAGCTCAGCAGCGAGTTCCGGCGGCCGGTTGCGTCGTGCGTCGTGCGACGGTTTGTTTCGGCCGTTCGTTTCGTGTGTTGTGTGACGCTGAGGGCCGTGGTTTGTTCTAAAAAAAACCGGTGGGGTCTACGCGGTTGGAGGGTCGGGGTTCGGTAGGTGTTAAGGCTGGGTTTCTTGTCCTTGTTGTTGTTGTGCTTGGTGTTGGCTGTGGTTGTCGTATGTTGTCGTGGTTGTTGTTGCTGTTGTTCTATTCTTTTTGACCCGGTAATGTTGAGTGAACGACGAGACCAGCTGCAGGTCAGCTCGCAATGACGGTTTCATCACATTTCACACGGATTGTTGCTAATACATGAACACATATTACCAAACATTGTGTTGTGTTAGAATCTTCGACGTTTTTGGAGCCAAAATCTAAAGCATATCATCGTACAAAAAAGAAAACTCACTCCCACCGAGGAGTGCCTTCTTCGAGCACGGGGTGCTGCTCTTCCGGGGCTTTGCAATACCCGACGCCAGAGCTTTTGAGGAGGCGCGGAGAAACTCTCCGATGCATGATGGATTGGATGGAGGATTTGACTTGTCATGTTTTTAGAGTTGTTTGGATGGATGATTCATGGATTTTGTTGCTGCGTTTTGTTGCTCTTGGCAGATGTTTGGATCCGGGAAAGGATTTGGCGGATGTTGGGATTGGATTCCCCAATATTTGTCATTGATGATCTTGTGGAGCAGGCATGAGCAAGCAATGACGTTCAACTGTTCCTTGTTTGGGGGAGAGTGCCTTAAAACATGGGGCATGGTCTTGCGTGTCAAACACTCTGCAGGCTATCTACGGATCTGGAGATTCCTCCAATGGGAGCTCAGTCCTAGACATTTCATGGGGCTATACATATAAAAAATAAATATTTATATATATATATATTAAAGATAGTTCAGTATTTTTTGATTTTCACGCTTGAAAATGTCTGAGACCGTAAGCAACTTCATTTCAGTATGTTGTTCTAAAAACGAAAGACCTGTTCCGAACCCCCCTAGTTCTGGTCTTCCTTCCCATGGGGCTCCACTCAATCACCCAAACCTGACCGAGCTGTACGCGTACCGAGCTGTGCAGGTCGCCTTAGCCTTCGTACCGAATTTGGAGAAGGCCTATTTGGGCGGCTCGGAAGGACAAGCAATGGGAGCGAAGAAAGGGGTTTTCGTGGACCATGCCAACAAAGTGGGGTGTTCAAGAAAAAACAATAGGTTGGAAACGGGTCATGTTGTTGCTTGTTGTTGTTGTTGTTGTTGTTGTTGTTGTTGTTGTTGTTGTTGTTGTTGTTGTTGTTGCTTGTTGCTTGTTGCTTGTTGTTGTTGTTGTTGTTGTTGTTTTAATGGCGTTGTAACCTTGGTGGTGAAAACTAATATATAACTATACTCCTTCCATCCCTTTCAGAACAAGTCTTGAAGGGTCATAGGAGATGTATTATCCACCACTCTGCAGAACAGGTGCAAACATGAAAGGCACACTCCATCGACCGATGGTTCACCGCTACGCAGCAGCGGAGAGCGAAGGTGTCACAGCACACCTTCGCTCGAAAGAAAATACCTTCCGACGGAAAGTTCGGTTACAGTGGTTTCAGAGATGGCACTGGCACCCCAAGATGTCTTTTAGATGGGGATCCATATAAACCACCTTTTGGATCCTTTTGGGGATTGTGCCATTTACTCTCAATCCACTAAGCCTTTAGAACTGTCCTTTCCAGTCAGTCCGTCCCTTTGCCTCGCTGCAGCACACTGCAGTTCGATCACCGAAGGTCGGTCGGGCGCCCCAAGGCACCTCTCCTCGGAGCCAGATCAACGGCACGAGCTACGTCTTCACCGCGGCGGACTTCCAGCCGCGCCCCGGTCGGTGTCCGGCTGGGATTGGGGTTCTGACCCAGGTGGAACTAGAGTTTGGTGCTTGGAAGATCAATGTTTGTTTGGAAACTGTTCTTTGTTTTGGCAGCTAGGGACTAAATCATTGGAAAGCACCCAAGCTGGTGAGTAGTGACCATGGTGTAAACTTGGGGTTTCTTTCAGGTATGTTCTTGGGCCCTCACGTTGGGTCACTTGGTGATGGACACGGCTCATGGCGACGGACATGTGTGCTGATCGGCAAACGGAATGAATCGTTTCCCTCATGTTTTGTTGGCTCGTTCCTTTCCCTCACCAGTCGGTGGCTGTTGCGACTCGTTCCGACAATCCAAACACGCACATGGTGAGATATTTGATAATTGACAGCTTGCTTAATGTGTGTTTGCCGTTCAAGACAAGCAGTTTGTGACTCTTCTTCCGCGCAAGGCAACATAGATGCAATATGATGCAATATTATAGCGTACACCGTACACCCTTATTCTTTTCAGCTGAGCAGGATGTAGAAGTTGTTTGCTCATACAAGTCAGATGACGGTGGGGCTAGATTTGTGAAAGAGCATGGATGGCCCTCGGACATGTTTCACTGTTGTCGCCGCAGGCGCCTTGAGCATCTGGCTTCGAGCCAAACAGTGTGCGAGCGTTCTTTACCCCTTTGTTTAGGTGTAGTTGAACCTCCGCTGTTTAACAGTGGCAGCGGAGCTGTCGACCCTCGTGCCATAGCGCTGCCCTGCGGACTTCGCTAGTGCTACTTCGTCTTCTTCGTGCTGACGGTCTTTGCTTTGGCCTGCTGGCCTCAACTTCCTGGTGTTGGGCGGTCTGCCCGACTTGGCCGTGTTGACCCGGCTTTGGACAACTTCGACTTCGTGGTCTGGACTACGTCTGAACTACAACGTGGACGACCTGGACACGGACTTCCTGGTGGCGTAAAGCCTCTCCCTTTTGAGGGATTGAAGGTTGCCTGGTGGCGGACCACTTCAACGTGGACTTGGAGACGGAGGAGATGAGTGATGAGAAGAAGGATGACCGAGGCTTTGACAGCTACATACCGGTCTGGGATGGACGGAGCGAGACGCTTCGAGAGTTCAAGAAATCCGTCCAATGGTGGTTGCACTCAATCGACCTCGAGAAGACCACTTCCTACAACCTGGCTGCCCGCTTTGCTATGAGGCAGAAAGGAAGTGCAAAGCTACGTGCGCTGGAGTTCGACCCAAAGGAGCTTGAATACACTCCAGCTGAGAAGGTGAAGGATGATGAGACCGATGAGATGATCGAGATCTCACCAGCGGTCTACGACGCCGGAATCCAGAAGATCCTGGCCTCCTGGGACGACATGGTTGGGAGGTCACAGACTGACCGCAAGGGTGAGCTTCGGGAGAAGTACTACCTGCAGCTTCGTCGTGGTGGCAGTGAGAGTGTACCGAACTTCGCTTTACGGTACAGGACCCTGATCGGCGAGATGAAGGCCGAAGGAATCACTGTGGACCCCAGCGAGCAGGCATGGTTCTTCAAGCAGAAGCTGGCCCTCTCCGAACTTCAACGACAAATGTTGGAGACCACCCTTGGCGTCGAGACCGAGGACTATGGAGCCTGCGAACGAGAGGCAGTTCGTCTCTTCAAGAGAGTCCATTTTGGACCTGGCCATGGACACGGAAGCCAACACCGCGAAGGCGGACATGGGAGCTTCGTTAAACGACCTCCTTCCTTGACGGCTTCGACCTTGTCCAAGTTTCGCAGGAGTTTCCCTTCGACTACATCGTCTTCTACCTCTTCATGGCGGCGTGGTGGAAAAGGCTTTGGTGGTTCGGTCAACGTCACTGAGTATGATGATGAGGTGACGGCTGAGAACGAGGCCTTTGAAGCCGAAGGAGAACCTGCAGCTGAAGAGGATGACGGTGGAGCAACAGATGCAGAAAGCCTAGCTGGCTTTGAAGGACTTCAACAGACCATTGAGGCCCTGGCGACAGAGATAGATGAGTTGGCTGATGGTTCACAAG